GCAGGGATGGCTGCCCAGTGGATCAGTAGGATAGTGGGGCCAGCAGGAGCTGAGGTGCCAGTCAGGAGGACAGTGGCTGGGTGGAGGGGCCGGCAGCAGTGGTCTAGAAATGACCTTCTCTTGTCTGGCAAAATCCCTCATCCAGGTCCAGTCAGGTCCCGAGGGTGCCAGACCCAGGAGGTCCAACCTGTAGCTGGACAGTTGTTCATAATATCTAACCTAAATCTCCCTTGCTGCAGATTAAGACTATTTCTTAACCTATTAAGACTATTACAAAGATAGCTTCCCCAATTATCACCTCTAATACTATTAACTCACAGACATCTCCCCTTCCCCACCTCTAATATCATTAACTCACTGGCATTCACCTTCCTTTCCTCCCCCCCCCCTGCATCCCCCTTCTGTTCTGAAATGTGATTTGTCCTTTTCATATTTGTTCATTTTTTTTAATTGTATCCTTTGGTATATATGGCTGTGACTATTTTCTTCCACTATTTGATCTGAGGAAGTGGGTCTGGCCCACGAAAGCTCATCATCTAATAAACCATCTTGTTAGTCTTTACAGTGCTGCACAGTCCTGTATTTTGTTTCAGCTACACCAGACTAACACGGCTACATTTCTATCACTATTACACATATCTCAGTGCACATTCTGCACTTGGATGGAAAAAATTCTACACGAAGATAGAAAAGATTAGCAGAAACATTCTTGAGGAGTGTTTGCATGCTGGATTCACTGGCCTGCTTACGCACCTCAGTGTTGGTGACTCTGATACTCAGAAGATTCCAAAGATTTGATGAAGACAACGCATAGGAAAGCTGTCGAGCCGCTTTTCCTGATGATTACATTTTGTTATAAATGGTTTGAGCAAGTTTTTATAATGTGTCTGAGAACTGTGAATGTTTTCTTAAAACACTATCTATATTGATAATATTGGAAGGACATTGGTGCAGATGTTAATTTAAATAATTTGTAATCTAAAGAGTCAATAAGCAGGAGATGGAAATATAATTATGGTAAGGGGTAGTTTAATGTTAATTAGTGCTATAAAAGAAGTAGCCTTATTAAATTGCAGGAGTGCTCCAAATGATATTGAAAAGCTATAGTTAGGTTCCAGGCTGAACTTCAGTCTATTGTCACTGGATTCATCACTCATCAATATATTATTTAGTCTTTCTGTGTGAGCAATTGTAGCATTGTCTAAGTGGTAAATGCATGCCTCATTGCTTAACCAATAATTTTCTTCTAAATAAAATTTGGCTTTATCATTCCAAGTGTCATTGAGTGGTCCTCTACTACATACATTTTCTGTACCAACCTAGAGGTTTGAGCCAGAAAACTAAGTTGTTTTTTATTACAGCCTTTCCTTTAACAACTTAATATTAATTGGAAACATTTCATAATAAAAATTACAAAGGGTTACACAGCTTGGTGTCATCCATAGATTTTATAAGAATACTCTCTTCTCTGTTATTCAGATAATTACTTAAAATATTGAATAGTACTGGACCAAAGTGCAGGATTCCTCTTGGTGCATATGCTGATGATTCCTTGTAAGGAAGAAAGTTGGAGTGTTGAAAATTCAGTCTACTTAATGAGATTTCTTACAGCTAGAGATAGGTTGAAAGGCCTCCATCAAAAATCACTAGTGGTCAGATCTCTGCAAGAACAAATACAGTAAAAAAAGAGGAAGGCTAGGAATGAAGGCAATCAAATTCAGATTGAGTGCCAAATTCATCTCATAGAGTTCTTCAAAGTTACTGGGAACAACTCTAATTTTTAATTCGGAGTAAAATGCTGGTCTGATCAAAACAGTACGATGCATGCTGGAACCTCTGGTTTCCACAGTGTCCCCTACATATCAGAAATGAAGGTGACTTAAATTGGACCTATTTCATATAAAGTAGGTGAGGCTCTTGGCCAGTTGCTAGTGTGGTTTTTAGTTAGACAAAGGCTGTGTCTAGACTGGCCAGTTTTTCCGGAAAATCAGCCGCTTTTCCAGAAAAACTTGCCAGCTGTCTACACTGGCCGCTTGAATTTCCGCAAAAGCATTGACTTCCTACTGTAAGAAATCAGTGCTTCTTGCGGAAATACTATGCTGCTCTCATTCAGGCAAAAGTCCTTTTGCGCAAAAGGGCCAGTGTAGACAGCTCAGATTTGTTTTCCGCAAAAAAACCCCGATTGCGAAAATGGCGATCGGGGCTTTTTTTGCGGAAAAGCGTGTCTAGATTGGCACGGATGCTTTTCCGCAAAAAGTGCTTTCGTGGAAAAGCGTCCGTGCCAATCTAGACGCTCTTTTTCGAAAATGCTTTTAACGGAAAAACTTTTCCGTTAAAAGCATTTCTGGAAAATCATGCCAGTCTAGATATAGCCAACGTGTAATTCTCTGTATCCTAGAGCTCTCATATCTCTGGGAAAAGAAAAATAAAGAAAAAGAATGCATTTAACTCTCCCCTTTGTATCTGAATTATTGCAGGGATAAGTGCAGAAAAATAGTAGAAGAAGCCATTCCGTGGAGAGAGGAGAGGAAAGGAAAAGGATAAGGTGGAAAATAACAGTAGTTAGTTGAAGGGAAATAAATGCCGCCTTCCGGGGTCACTTCCTTGTTATTAAAAGATCCACCTCCAAATGTGTTGGTATAAATGCTTAATAAATAAGAAACAGTCCATGTCAGTGTGATTGTGACATTCTCTGATTCTGCTTTATTCAGTGTTAAGTAGATTGCTGCACTAGAGGATTTACAATATTATTTTATTATTATTATTTTATTTAGTCTCTGTAAACAGCTCTGTGGTTTTCTGTGTTTGGTCACTTTATTTATTTAAATAGGCAAACCAGGTAAAAGCCTGCTTGGGTTGCACAGCAGCACATATAGGCTGTCGCTGTGTTTCTAGGCTCATTCAGTCCACAGCTTTTCTAGCAGAGATTAGGGCGTGGGTAGTATATACTATTTGCACATGGTGTTATATGGGAGATGAGATCAGTATGTAAATTTCAAGGTTGACATTAACTTCTACAGAAACTGCCTAAAAAGCTAGCATAATAATTTTATTTTCACTGATTTTTCAGCTGTCCCAAACATATTTGTGAGAGTTTTCTCTTCATATCTCAGTAGTGTGGGCTTGGCATAATTTGGCAAAGGTATCCCTGCAGAAATATGTCTGTGGTGGTACTTTGGGGAAAAGGGAGGTTTTTTGATACACAAGAAGCAGCAGATTATTTTTAAAGTAAGGAGTTGACTGTTAGCACAAT